TCCTGTCTCTACTTCTTGGGCATCTATTGTGCTTGTGTGGGTTAACTTGGTTGTTAGTATTAGGGTGATAATATAGAGTACTAACGAGCTAATTAGGAAAACGATTATTAGGGTATGATCATGAAAATGAAGTAATTCTTCTATAATAGGGGAGGTAGCATCTTGAAAGCCTAACTGGAGAGGATGTGCCATAAAAATACACAGGAGTTTAACCTGTAATTTAACTTTGACAAAGTTATGTAATAGTTTTACTAGTACTTTATTATGAAGAAAGACATAGTGGTTATGGAGTTGGCTTGAAACTCACACATCAGTCCATCCACCCACCAGCCCTCCCACCCAGTTTTCTGTCCTTTTACCCATCCCACCATCATTTGTCCATCTTATCCTTTAACTTTATCAGTTTTTACTATATGTCAAACATTGAGGTAACTAAGGGTGGAAGAAAGAAGCACCTGGGCATCAGAGCTTACCCTGGGCCTACATGCCATAACCAAGTAGAGAAAAGAAAGCAGAAAATATTCCTCTAGGTTAAACAGGCTTAAGCTGGTCTGAAGGCACTGTCCATGAATTTAAAGACCACGGAGAGTAAACACATGGCTTACATAGCATTCCTCCACATCCTGTACTCATGGCAGACATGACTAATGGATCACAACACCATCAGACCCTTTCGCTAGGCCTCAGAACCATTCCTCACATAATACTCTGGGCAGACACTTCTGACCTCACAAGATATAATAAATGAAAGTATGGAATTCATTGTCTCAAATGCAAACAAAAGCAAGGACAGGCGATTCACAGACTTTCATATTCAAAAGCGAATTCTTGAACTGTTTGTGAGATTCCCTGGTAGACCCTGCCAGGGACACTGGGGTGCAATAGAACAGGCTCTGACGGCCCTTAAGTGGAGAAGCCGAGACCTCAGATGGGTTGGCAGAGCTGATATACACCTACCTGGCCTCTGCTTCTGCCTGGGGTCCCTAGGCAAACAACAGTTGGACACTCACATCCCAAGGCCCATAGTCAGGCACCATCCCAGGCCCCTCCCAGCCATCTGACTCTTTGGGGGGGCTGATGAAAAACACTCCCTCTGCGTCCCCACGGACATGCAGATGTGGTCAGATAAACAGATGCAGAGATACAAGTGTGTGTATACTTACGGTCAAACAAGGCCTTTCTGAACAACAGAGTCATAGGTGGTTCAAAGTCAAACAAGCCCTCCTGCAGCCTTGCTCTTGAGGCTGAAATGAACAGCAATAAGCAGAACAATACCCTTTATTAGGCACAAACGCTATGCCAGGCCTTGGATTAGATGCCTTTTGTAAATTATTTGGGGCCGAGCCCCTGTGCTCACTCTTGGAATCCCAGCACTTTGGGAGGCTGAAGCCCGGGAATCACTTGAGCCCGGGAGTTCAAGACCAGCCTGGGCAACATAGTGAGACTCTATCTCTACGAAAAATTTAAAAATTAACTGGGCTTGGTGGTACACGCCTGTAGTCCCAGCTACTCGGGAGGCTAAGGCCAGAGGATCACTTAAGCCCAGGAGGTGGAGGCTGCAGTGAACCATGAGTGT